ATAGATAGATAGATAGATAGAGGTAGGTAGATAGATAGATAGATAGATAGATAGATAGATAGATAGATAGATAGATAGATAGATAGATGTAGATAGATAGATAGATAGATAGATAGATAGATAGATAGATAGATAGATAGATAGATGTAGATAGATAGATGGATAGATAGATAGATAGATAGATAGATAGATAGATAGATAGATAGATAGATAGAGGTAGATAGATAGATAGATAGATAGATAGATAGATAGATAGATAGATAGATAGATAGATAGATAGATAGATAGATAGATAGATAGATAGATAGATATAGGTAGATAGATCGATAGATAGATAGATAGATAGATAGATAGATAGATAGATAGATAGATAGATAGATAGATAGATAGATAGATAGATAGATAGATAGATAGATAGATAGATGGTGTAAGAGCATGAGTCAAACAAGCCAACCCCCGCCTCTCTACGATGTTCTGATGCTGAGATATAGCTGGTGCCATATCGTTGCTAGGTTAGTCTGTTTTGTTGCTATGGAGTTGATTGACAGCTTAGACTGATGATGTATCAAAGCTTCTTGCCAGTATGAACAGTTAAAAACAACCCCCATGTCTCTATCACACTGCAGCATGACAATATCAGTCTGAACCTCTTTAATTGCAGTCTATGGGACAGTTGCTAGGGTGCAGTATCTAGTTGTTAGGGTGTGGCTAGAAAGTTAAAAGGCCATCGGTGATTGGCTGCTGGCTAGACTGAGTTAAATGAGCCTAGCCATTAGTCTGTAGGACAGTCTGATGCAGAGTTATGAGCTCACAAAGTTTGATCCCATGTAAAGTCAATGAGAGTCTTTTGCAAGGGAAGTCTATGGGACGGTTTCTAGGGTCCAAAAGTGGTTGCTAGGGCGTGGCCAGAAAGTTTAAAGGTGATCAGCATTGGCAGTTTGATAGTCTGAGTTAAATGAGCCCAGTTAGAAGTCTGTGTGACATTCTGATGCGGAGTTATGAGGTCACAAAGTTTGATCCAATGTTACGTCTATGGGATTTTTCCGACGGTCCCGGGACGTTTTTCGGGAAACCAAAGTCGGATCAGTCGGAAAGGATATAGCAACTCGAGTCAGAATAGTTCGGAGGTCTGACCCGAGTTTGATGGTCATAGCTTGAAAGGCCTAGGACGAGATAGAGTTTAATTTTTAGTCTCAGAAGAAGAATAATAAATATAATAATAAGTTTAATAGGATAACAGTAGTCTGGCTTGCTACACAAGCCAGCCTAATAAAAGTACATTAAAGGGTCACGAAACACCAAAATACATTTTTTGAGCTGTTGACAGTCGTATATGTGTCCCACACTGCTATAAACACTATTAGGACACCTATATTTCACTAAAAAGTGTAAATTGGTTGTTTTTGCGTTATTTCAATCAAATTCGTACTTCCTGTTAGAAACGAATTTTTAAAGCTGCATCACGGTCATGAGATTATAGCGTGTATTCCAGCGTGCAGACTGGGCGCCTGTGCCAGAGTGTGTCTTATTACATCTTACAGTGTGATGCATTAATGCATGAGTAAAGCTTGGTTCAAACCAATCAGCATGCTCTATTGTGCAACTTCAATAATATTCATTACTGTGTTTACACGACATAGACGCCACGTTGTGTTGGCAAAACAAGCGTGAAGTGTTGCTTTTATAGTTTGCTGCTGTTAAGTTTCGTTTTCTTTTTCTCTCTGTGAGAGCGCAGCTGGAGTCACGTGTGGATTAACAGTGTACGCGACGCTCGACAACAATAACTTACGTCTCTAAGGAGGATTATTGTTTACCTGAGAGCTGTTCTCATCTGCAAACGCTGAGATCGGATTCGCTTGTAGTATTCTCTTCATAAAGACGCGGCTCTAGTTGCTGGTGATTGTTCTGTCTCTACAGATTTGGTAAGTGAGCGACCAGTGCTCTTTGTTTATTCAGTTTGTTCGTATCGAACTAAGTTAATTATTGCACCGTAACATGTTAGGACCACAACCAAACTTTAACCTCGTGTAGGGTTTTCACCGCATTTAGTGACCGGAATAACACACGCGGCTTTCTGACACTACCTGCCGTGTGCATCTAAATTTCCGGAAAATGCTGAGGTTTTTTTTTCTCTCATTCGCCGTGCGGTATCAAACATTGCATGAAAAATACACGCTTAGAGCAGTTCCTCAAATCAAATATCTCGTTTGTCGCGAGGGACATGAATGAATTCCCTGAATGAAAGAGCCAAACAGCAGTTAAAGTCCACCATTTAATAATTTGGCAAATAATTCGACTACAAATGTCCATGTAGGTTAAACACCATCACTTTCTCCTGTGTGTGAGTATTTTGACTGAAACTCGCGCGTGCCCAAATAGACACTCCCACACCCTCCCGCTTTAGTTCCTCCGACACTCCCCCCTAAACAGAGCTGGACACGCCCACTTTTCTGACTTTTTCCAAAGTAGAGGTGTGAAAACACCCTGCTGAAACGAGCGGGTTTCATGGACCTTTAATAACAAGCAATACATTTTTTTTTTTTGCTTTATACAGTTTAAGGTGCATATTAGGAAAATAGAGATGGTTCAGAGGGGAAATAGCATGGGGGAAAACGGTTCTTGTGTCTGGCTGCTCATGTACACAGTGCTCTGACGATCTGTGCTACCTCATCAGAATGTGCTACCGGTAGCTCAATCTGTCATATTTCATCTAAAAAAAACAGGGTTAGCACATCATGTCTATCAGAATGAACTACCTCCTTAAAGAAAAGTGTAAAAACAGGGGTAGCGCATTTTGTCAGCTTCAAATGTCAATCGGAACGAACTACCACTCTAATAAACAAATTAAATATAAAACTAATGAAATAAAGGCAGTAGTTTGCTCTGATGGACAATTAAAGCTGCTATGCCTTTTTCTACATTGTTCAATAGAGTAGTAGTTTTGATAGATATTTGAAGCTGACAAGATGTGCTAACCCTGTTTTGGTAGACGAAACATGACAGATTAAGCTACCGGTGGCAAATTCTGAGAAGGTAGCACAGATCGTCAGAACACCGGTCGTAAATATCCTGATGATATTTACCAGATTAACACAGAATTTGGAGAAACATTAGTGAAGTAGGCTTTAATTGTCATTTCAACTATATACAGTTAGTACACAGTAAAACGAATCAATGTGCCTCCGGGACCAAGATGCTCCATACAACAAATTTACAGACATACATGAACTAAAAAACCTATGCAAGACTAAGAAAACTAAGAAACAACACACTCACAAAGAGCCTATGCAAATGTGCAAGCACAGACAAAGTGAAGAATTTTTCTAATAATTAATTCCTTTAGCACAGTGTTTCTCCACTCTCAACCATGTTTCTGGAGGAGCACCAACTCTGCACATTTTCCATGTCTCTTTAAACAAATCACACCTGATTCAGATCCTCAGCTCATTAGCAGAGACTGACAGACCTGTAATGACTGCGACAGACAACGGAGACATCCAAACCATGCAGTGTTGGTCCTCCAAGAACATGGTTGAGAAACACTGATTTAGCAGACCCTTAAGTCCAATATTACAATAAATATACATTTTAAAAGGATTTACACCAAGTTAATTATTCCTAAACATTTAGCAATGATTCTTTCAGCCATCACAAGAGTCATTAGACATTATTATAATATTACCATGTTGCTTATTAAACATTTTATTATATCATTAACAATGCTGAAATATTTTATGCTTATCATACTTTACTATATAAAGTTTACAAGTAACTTTTATTCTTAATCTTTAATAAAAAATGACCAATAAAAAGGTCATTCTGAAGCATGTTAAGTTAATTTTAATAGTAATTAGGCTATTGTTGTCATCTATGAATTTTCAAATGTACAAGAGAGACTAGAAAAAAGCCTAACATAATTATTTTTATTATTATCATTGTTTAATTTTTTATTATTTAAATGGCCAAATTCACACTGAGAAGTTTAATGTGCTTGTCAGTTTGTTATTTGCCTAATAAATAATAATAGACTACAGTTTTTTTGTTGTTGTTGTTTTTTTTTTACAGTTTTTAACATTTAAGGTGCTTCATACTTGTATGAAAAGTGATACTTATTTCCATATAATGTGGTAAATATAAAATAACAGAATTTTAACTTTAAGTTCTAGATAAATCAAATGTGTTTGTGCTGAATAAGTTCATTTATTTTTCTTTTTGTTGAAACAAACGGACATAACTATCTTACTGACCCAAGCTTTTGAACAGTAGTGCAAGATTTGACTGGTTCAACTGCATTTATAACATTTTAAAGGGCAATATTAAAACTAGATGTGTAAATCTAAATTATTTTAAACAGAAATCAAACATTAAAATTGCATGCAGATCAGATGTGACCGCTGACTGACCTCGCACCAGTCTCTGACTCTCACTGTGAAGCTGCTTCATCGCCTCCTTACTGGCTTTCGCTGCTTTCCGCTCCTAAAAACATCATTAGGAAAAACTAATAAATGATTCAGCTACATCACACAATGAACACGATCAATGAGGAAAGCATCATCATTGGAAATAATCTCACCTTGCGTTGTGGCTTGTTTTCTTGTTCCTCGTCTCCACTGCACTCAGACAGATGAGGCTGTAAATATTACAGTATAAAACATAACCTTCAGTAAAGCAGATTTGTTTAACCCGTTTAAACAAGGACAACTAAAATTCTGTGCTAACTTTGTCTATTTTTTGCAAATTGTAACTTTTAAAAAAACTTATAAAAGTAGTGACCGATTTCTGTTAAAATGAGCAAAACTAGTTTTGCTTACTGACCATTTACACTCATGAAATCAGAATTTTACTACTCATAAATAATGAGTAAATTCACAATATACATTTTGAGTTCCAGTCCTAATTATTGCAGTTAAAATATGCATATAAAATATATGCATAAAAAACTACTTGCAGTTCTGTCTTGGTACTTTGTTTTCACACAAAAAGTCAAACCACGCAAAAAGTTTGCTTACTTTATACTTGGCCTTCTTTTTTACAGCCGATCGGATGGCATCCAGAGACTCTTCCTCTTCTTCTTCAAGCTGATGTTCAGAGTCTTCCTCTAACTGAGCATCAAACAGGTCAGAGTCTCCGAGCAGACAGCCGCTGTCATTCAGAGCTTTGACTGGGGGAGCATCCTTTAAATAGGAAAAAGTCAAAATGAAAATTATTAGGGCTGTGCAATTAAAGGGGCAGTTCACGCAAAAGTGAAAATTGTGTCATTATTTTCTCTCCCTTTACTTGTTCCAAACCCTTTCAAAATCTACATTTAGTCATTTGACAGATACTTCTTTCCAAATTGCCTTACAAGTGAGGAGACATTCAGCAAATGTACATGAGGCAGTGCTAAGAGAATTGTGCTCAGAGAATTAGGTGCTAGAGTCCGGGAGAGTTTTTTTTTTTTTTTGGAGAAGAGTGAAGTCTGTTTTTATAGGTGGTTTGTCAAGCCCACTTAATTTCTTTCTTTAGTTCAACACTAAAGATACTTTAATAAAGCTGTAAACCTGTAACCGTCGACCTCTATATTATTAATACATACTATGCAGGTCAATGGTTACAGGTTTTCAGCTTTCTTCAGAATGTCTTCTTTTGACTTTAACAGAAAAACAAAAACATAAAGGTTTAGGAAAAATGAGTACATGTTCATTTTTGAGTGAAGTATCCTCTTAACAACACTTTAAAACACACTTTTTAATTCATCCAGCAAGGTCACTTTGATTAGGAACAGTAAAAAAAATACAACCGATGTTTGCATATTTATTCGTTTTGGACTTAGTTTGTTACGACATATACACAAGCAAATTTATTTAAAAAAATAATAATTTATCTGATATTTCTATTTTATTTCTAACTTTTTTTCAAGATTGTACAAGAGCACTACCTTGCTTATCCTATGTGTTTATTTTTATTTATACATTTGAATGCATTGTGTTAATTGTTTTAGGGAGAATTCAGTTTTGTTTAAGGAATGCAATTTATTTTGTTTAATAATCACAATTTCAATAATGACCAAAATAATCTACGTTAAGATTTTTCTTTCATAATGGAGCAGCCCTAAAAGATAATAAAACATTACTCCTGAGTCACACACTGCTGTTAAACATCCCAAACACCCACCTCAGATTTTTCCTTCAGCCGTTTCACCAGAGCAACGTTGCGCTTCTCTTTCTCTTTGCGTCTTTGTGACTTCTCTCTTTTTTTCTTTCCTTCTTTTGGCTTGACTTGAGCATCCTCCGCTTTTTCTTGCTCATCCTCATCGCTATCCATTGAGATGCGGGACACTCGTTTTCCTCTCTTCTTTATGACACTTTCAATCTCACTGGTTTTCGTCTCCTCATCGCTGGACTCTGACAGGACCAAAGCGTTCGTCATTCCTGCCTCTTCCTTCTCTCCGTCGCTGTCACTGTCCTGCAGTGCTTTCCGAGAGCGTCCCTTCCGACTGACGGCGATATCATCATCTGAATCTGGAACACAGACAGAATAATTCTGATTTAATTGGGACATAAAATAAGGTTGTTTAGAAACTACAATTTTTGTATATAGTTAAGTGTTACACTCTACCTCTGGTTATGTTTTATTCATAAAAATGAATTTAAAACATAACATTTAAATGATCAAATTTGCACTTGTTATTAACACATTTTCAAATGCAAATTAAATGCACTTTTTTTTTAAATGTTGTTTTATATATGTAAATGTATAATAATGACTTTGTTATAAACCATTCTAGATCTTTGACATTAATAAATTCAGATTTGGACCTTTAGTATCATCTTACCTTGCTGGTCCTCAGTGCGCTTGTTGTTGTCAATCACAGGCTCCTCCATTGGTGAACCCACACCACTGTCTGAATCGCTCCCAGCTGTTCCTCCCTCAACCACATCCACAGGCTAGAAAGGAAAGAAAAAAAGTACATACATTGGAAATGAGTAAAATTATACTGCATCATAAATATACACCTATCATAAACACACAGCTTGGTTACATCTAATAAAACACAAATTTCTGAAAAAAGGAACATATTAAAAAAGACAAAACTGTAAAATGTGTAATTGTTTTCTCATCCTTCACTTGTTTATAACCAGTTTGAGTTTCTTTATTCTGTTTAACACAAAGAATGCTATAATAAATAATGTTAATAAAAAACGACAAATGACTTCCATTGCATTTTTGTTCCTACTATAGATGTCAATGGCTATTTCCTCTAACATTCTTCAAAATATCTTGTTTTGTGTTCGAGAGAAGAAAGAAACGCTTAAATTTAACAACCACTTAAGTATTTAAGTAAGTAAATAGTAAGGAAATGGGTGAATTGTCACTTTAATATTACATTGGGCACTTCATGTCTATTTCGAGTAACGTTACCACATTCAGAATTCAGAATAACACACACATATGCATTGCTAATTGCTTATTTCTACAGCAAAAACACACAATATAATCCCATATAATAAATATAAATTCAACAAATCCCAAATATGGCTATACAAAACTCCGTCAAACTCCTCGTTTGGCCTTTCTTGACAAAGAACAGGATGAATAGCTAATGCAAGCAGGCTAGCTAGCTAAACACAAATAACCAGTTAAATTAATTCAAAATTGACTAAAACTGCTGTTTAAACTAGTGGTTAACTTGTTCTTGTCCACCACATGTAGTCATTCCTATGTATTTTGTAAATAATGTCTGAATATTAGAAAGTGGAATAACGTTACATTACCCGCTCTGAAAGGACGGAGCTCATCTTTGTGGGTCGAGTCTTGCGCTTTTAATCGAAACAAAACCACATCAATCGTTCGAGACACGACGTATAAAGTAAATAACTCAAGCTTAATATTCAAAACCTCATTAAATTAATCTGATAATGTTATTTTTACAGTGCCAAACACGTACACATCCATCTCCCGCCCGATGGTGCTAACTGAATTCAACGTCAGCCTTCGCGCGCTGAGCTCGAGCGCTTTTCTTTAACTGCCTATGTCATTATTTTCGAGCCTCGCTATTGGATGGACGGTTGTTGTGCGCTCTTGCGCTGCGCTGATTGGATGAAACAGTCAGCGCTGGAACGCCAATACAGCATCCGATTGGTCAACGCTGACTGTATATTGACAACAACAGAGGGCAGGATATTTTAAAGGGACAGTTCACCAAAAATAAACTTTACTCACTATTTTCTTACCTTCGAGCAGTTTCAAACCCCTTATGCCATATATGATACCTTCTGTTGAACAAAAGAGAAAATATGTTTCAATAAATCGGAAAAAAACATTAGTCCTATAGTAGGAAAAACAAATACTGTACAAGTCAATGATTACAGGATTTCAGCTTTTAAAATATATATTCTTTTGTGTTTGACAGAGGACAGAAAGTCACACAGATTTGGAACAAGTGATAAATGACAATTAATATATTTGGGCGAACTATCCCTTTAAATATACCAGCAACTTTCACTATGCCTAATTTAGGTTACATATAAAGAGAGAGAGAAAATAATTTACATTTCACAATTTATCAGATGCTTTTATTCAAAAGTAACACACACGACAACAAAATAAACAATGAATGGAACAGAAAACTGATTAGAAAGTGATTTATTTCCAATAAAAGAGAAAGCCTAATGAATAAAAGCAGTATATAGAAAGTGAGAGGACCAATCCATTTTAATAGATAGATTAGAAAAGAAAACTAAGTGTTACCAAAAATATAACCAATACTTCACAATGAGTAAAGACTCTGAAGAATATAAAAATCTATCAAAGTCAAGGGATAGTTCATCAAAAAGATTTTATTTACTCACTGTTTACTCACCTTTGAGTGGTTCCAAACCTTTATGCCATATATCAGGGGTTCCCAAACTTTTCAGCACGTGACCCCTAAAATAACAATACCAGTGACTCTCGACCCCCAATATCCCCTGAGGTGATTATAAATACAGAAAACTTGCATGCAATGGCGCACACACACACACCAATAGACCAAAGTCTATTCTTCGTTTAATTTTTTAAATGTATTTCAGTGCTGTAAATGGGCCAGAAGTTTAACCTGGTGTTATAAAATCAATCTGCTGCATCTGACGCTATTGCTGTGTCTTTAATATAATGTATTTACCCCAGGGGTCGCAATCCAATAGAACAAGTAAATAAGCTACTATAGTAACTATAAACAACAGATTTTTTTCTCTTCAGTTGGTTATGGATAAAATATGGTAATTCTTATGGTTTAATAATAATAAGTAGATTTTTGGAAATCACCAGGTGACCCCCCCTTCATTGTTCCGCGACCCCTCAAGGGGTCCCGACCCCCACTTTGAGAACCACTGCCATATATGATACCTTCTGTTGAACATAAAAGATTATATTTTTTAAGAAATAGGAAAAAACATTGCATGCAATAATAGGAAAAACAAATAACCGGATAACAATTTAACCGGAAGTTTATCAGTATGTGAACAGCACTAGATCGGCATATACCCTATAGGGCTGTTCTAACAAGTCTGTGAAATTCAACAGAGCATTAAACACAACCCCAAGGTTCCTGCTTTAATTCACCTAATCAAAACGGATAGGTTGTGAAGAACATATGCAAATCAATACCTCACAGTGCACAATCATGCCTCCAGTTTTTTTGTAAATTATCTAAATGTATTTTTCCTTCATATTTTGTTTGCATTTATGTTTGCTACACTGCAAGTTTTCAACCTGAAACCCTGTGATTGAGGTGAAGTTGGTTTTATATTTGCACATACGTTCAGTGACAACTTGTGAAATAGTCACTATAATTAATCACAATACTTTGAATATTGGATCCGAAATTGCATGTAAATATGACTTCAAATCAACACGATTACTATTTAGTTGACTGTAAACAGTGTTGTACTTTGATAGTCATTCACTGCTAATATGATTTCACTGATTAGTATTTGCAAACAATATTGTTTCTGAAATTGTATTAATAGGGAGAAAGTCTGAATGCACAAATATAAAACCAACGTTGCTTTAAAACCATTGTGCATCATGCCCACTTAGCACAGAAATATTAGTCCTAATAAGCATTTTTGTCTGTGGTCATCTCTGTGGCCCTGGGCGCTTGCCAGTTTGCCCATATGTTTAATTCGCCTGTGACGATGATGCAGTGGGTGGGTGGAAAACGCCAAGAAATTCACTCTTTGTAAGGCTAAACTGAAATGTGTAAACTGAAGAATAGAAACGCAAGTCAGAAAAGCTTAACGTGGCTTACCTAAACATAAACCAGAGAAACACAAATTTCTGTCTAAATGTACTTGTAATTTACCCCAGCTACTGTAAAAAGAACCAAGAGTCCCAATTGCATAAATAAAGTGAAAAACATTCCTTGTTTTCTCCCCCATTGAAGTCTATCATAAGAAAAAATGCATAATGTGGCTTAATGCACCTTAACAACAAGCAGGGAAAATCAAATTTCTATCAAATTTTACTCAGGACAAACTCTTTCTGATGTTAAAAGATTGAGCTTTAATTTTAGTGTGTGAAAATGTTGACGTTATGCGTTTTAAGTCCATTATATGTAAACAGCTTAACGTACTACAACACAGAACAGGGAAACCCACATTTCTGTCAAACTTTACTTGTGATTAACACTAACTACTGTCAAACGAACAGGCCCTAACAGGTTGGTTTAATGGTTTAATTTTTTTACTTGTCCGGCCAAAATTTTCACTCTCCCCATATATTAAATAATGTGTCAAAAATAATGTTTATAATTATTAAAATGCTAAAAAATATTTAAATAATATTTTTAAAATGTATAATATATGTATAATGAGCAAAATTATGTGTTAACCAAACAAAAAGAGCAGTATGGAAAATGTGAAAGTATTTTATTTATGTTCGAAATTATTTAACAAAAGGTGGCTCAAATCGGGCCAGTAATGATCCCGTCTACTGTCCCAAGGGTCTCTCACACTGGCCCCGGGCCATCGGGCAGTCCTTATTGTTGAGCCCTGCCTAATTCCATAGATAAAGTGAACAATATCAGGGTAAGCATTTTCTCCCCATTGAAGTCTATAATAAAGACTGAGGTAAAGTTAGTTTAATATTCAGACTTCCTCCTTGCTGTTAATAATTAATAATATTAATAATTTCGCTTTCAGAAGTGCATTTTTTTTTGCATTCCAGAAATAGTGAAATCATATTAGCAGGCAATGACTATTAAAGTATTGTTCACAGTCAAATAAATGCTGCTAATGTCGTCTTAAAAGTCATTCTTACGTGGTTTCAAGGCGAATATTAAAAGTACCAAAGTAAATAACATAGGGAGCCCGTCACAAGCGGTCACCGAATAAATGTGCGAATATAAAACTACCTTTACCTCAAAGGAAAATCGTATAATAACTTTGCAACAACTGAGGGAAACCAAATGTTAAAAAGGCTCTTCATAAAACCAAAGCTAGTGTTAATCACAAGTAAAATAAGATAGAAATGTGATTTTCCCCGCTTGTTGTTAAGGTAGGCTACATTAAAGCCAACTTTAGCTTTTTCCTTGACATCAATGGGGGAGAAAACGCTTAACAAGATGCTTTTCACATTATCTATGGAATTAGGACTCATCCTTTTCACAGTAGTTGAGGTTAATCACAAGTACAATTTGAAGGAAATTTGGGTTTCTCTGATTTGTTTAGGTACATTAAGCCAGCGGGTCCCAACAGGGGGGGCCTGGCCCACTAGGGGAGAGGGGTCTGGCTGCAGACCTGGTGCAGTACAATCTGGGCTGCTTCCAATGCTTTTTAATGGGCTCACCTAACCCCACCCCTAACCCTACCCGTCACAGTGACGTCACTCACTCCATTTGAGTGCATTGTGTCTGACATTGCATCGCTGAGTGATGCAGTCTCAGCTTGCATCATAAAGGCTGCATTCAGATACTGTTGCACTAGGGGGCCTCAGCAAGCTCTGTGGGGCTCTTGTCATATTTGTTTTACAAATTTTAGCAGTGGAAAATTAGGAGAACAATCATGTTGCCTTAGTTCATTTTATCCCTTGGCTGACCAAAAATGGACAAATTTGTCATATGTACTCCACAAATAAAGACTGTAGAGTCTAACTGATTCGCCTTCAGCAGCTAATACTAATGACCCAAGCATACTGGACCCAGGTGTTGAAGCTCCAAACATTTCAACAGTATCCGGATGCAGCCTTTATGATGCAAGCTGAGACTGCATCACTCAGCAATGCAATGTCAGACACAGTGCACTCAAATGAAGTGAGTGACGTCACTGTGTGGGGTAGGGTTAGGGGTGGGATTAGGTGAGCACATTAAAAAGCATTGGATGCAGCTCAGATTGCACTGCACCAGGTCTGCATCCAGACCCCTCTCAAACATTTCGGGTCACAACGCAAGCAATACTATAAACACCAAGATAGTTACTTGAACTATGGTTTTATTTCATTTTCTCAAAGCAAAGAGTCCTTGACCCAGCCACAGGGCAGAAACTGCGCAAAAGTTCTTGCTAACATATGCATGAGGCCCAGGGGCGGATTGGCCATCTGGCAATACTGCCTAATGCCAGAAGGGCCGGACCATTTTGCCCAATCGGCAACGGCCGGCTGGTTTCGAGATGGGCCGACCCAATCATAAATCTGGCAAGAATGTCATAATCAAGAATGTCATAATCAAATCTGGCAAGAATGTCAAACAAACAGTAAGTGCAACACAAGCTATAATTGTCAGAGATGGAACGTAAAAACGGAGAGGCGGTGCTGAAAAGCTTATTAAAAGCAAAAATTGGTTCTGAAATCAAACTAAAGCTGCGGTCACACTTGACTATTCTCCCAATAGACTTCCATTCATACGCACGCGAATGCGTCAGACCGGAAACGCAGGGTCATGCGTCAAGTTTCGCAGGTCTACTCTGACCTGCAAAATCGCATCACTTGACTGCGTGAGACCAGTTGAGGATCAAAACATGACCTCTCTGGACAGAAATTGAAAACATGGAGCAACCGCTCACTTTTTTTAATGTCTAATAATCTTGTTTAATCCCGCCCCTTTTCGCAGCGCTGTATGACAGAATTTCGCACACACAAACTCTAGTGTGACCACAGCATAATGCTTTAAATTAACTGAAATATTTTATGTGTATGGGTGTTTCCCAGTGATGGGTTGCAGCTGAAAGGGCATCTGCTGCATAAAACATGTGCTGGATAAGTTGGTGGTTCATTCCGTAGTGGCGACCCCAGATTAATAAAGGGACTAAGCAGAAAAGAAAATGAATGCATGTATAAAATTGTCATAAATGGGTTGTTTTTATTCCAGTAACATATATTAAATATATATTATGATACTGCTTGTATTATTCCACCATCTGCACACTAATATAAGTGGTGAATGTCCGTGTGTGGAGCTGTGTCGGTGTGGTAATGTGGGCTGATGTGGCTACAGTGCCAGGGCTGATTTTTTCGTCCTAGTCTGCCCCTGATGAAGCCATCCAAATTAATAAGATATTTGTAGACGACTGATCCTCAATTCAGCAAGATGTATCCAATTATACAAATGGCCTACTGATGTTTGCTTTTATATTTTACATTAGGCTATTATTTATGCATAAACATATCTAATAAACATTTTTTGACAAATATGTTTGATATAAATGTGGTGGGGGTCTTACAATATTTAAGGGGGTCTCAGGCAAAACTTGCATTAAGCCACGTTAAGCTTTTATCACCTTAAGCGTTTTAGATTGTCCCGTAATATTCAATTCATCAGCATATAACTGATATTAAAGGCCATGTTTCTGAATGAATATACATAGTGATCCCATATATCCCCACAATAAAATATCAGCAACTTTCAGTGTGCTTATTGTGAACAGTTGCACATAGAATAAAAGGAAAAAGCCACCCACACCGATCCGAGTGTTTGTCAATCCACAATCCAACACACGTGCTAAATGTCACTTACAACTCAAATTAGCAGGCGAGCAGCAGATTTTTCCCGGATTTAGATGATCAACCGAACAAGCACTAATTTCACGGCCATAAGCCGCTCCTGAAGTTAAATTATGTAATGCAGCTTGATGAGGATCCGCGCAGCGCGCTCACCGCCCAAACCTTTATCATTTTCCCCGTGCGCGTCCACCAACCGAATGTCGCGTCCCCGCGCATGCGCCCTTACAAATCCCATGGATCTGCTTTAAATCACTCAGAAGACAACGCAGGCAGAGCTGCACATCTACGCATCCCTTCCATTTCTTAAATTAGCCACCTTAAGCTTCGAGATACCGCCCCCAATTTCAGTGTCGGTACGGAGCCGCCAGGCCGGGACAGAGACGGAGAGAGAGCCCTCGGCCATGGAAGCGCTCGGACCCGGTAAGTGCTGAAAATAAGCCGAGTGACAGCGCAGCGCGGGCCGTTGCGCCGCTCACTAGGGCCCGCGGTCGAGCGCTGTTTAGGCCTCGACGGAAAAAAACGAAAACAAGCCCTCTATCACGCCGCACACGCTTGTCAAAACCGTCATAACGTCACAAAGCTGTCGGTAATCGTGTTATATCCTCAAGAACGAGTGTGTGAGACGCCAACAAGTGTTTGTTTATCAGTGAATGAGCGAGCTCAGTGCGGAAGACAGGACGGCATTGTGTGGGGATTTAACCACACGCATCTTCCTTCCGCGTCTGCCCTCAACAAGCCTGCGTGATTAAAAACACCACCTTTCTTTTCAAGCTAACCATTTTGTTCGACTGTTTGTTCGTTGGACGTTTATAAATATCGTTATTGATTTGCTGCGCGAGCTCGAGACGCTAATAGAACGCGCGTGCGTGCGTGCGCTGGAGAACAAACGCGCGCGGATGTTGGTTTTTATTGTTGGCGCTTTGTGTGATGCCCATGTGCGTTTGTTTATTCCCAAATGCTCTTCATGCCAGAGGATAATGGTTGACAGGACTTTAAGCGCCTCTGTCAAGTACATGACTCCACGCACAGCCAAAAAACAAGCCGCTCCACTGTAAATGAACTCTCTGACCTTTGACAAATGATGATCTCCCATAGTGATATGCATGCTAATTAAGCCATGCCTGTACATCATCATCGTTTCTGAGAGCTCAACAGCTCATACTATCTTTTATTAGAAGCCTATGTTTTCTTTGCTGCACGTAATGCATCCATCCTTCAGAAAAGTTGCCCTCCTCACTCTCGTTATCTTAATTTTCACTCAGTGCTGTCTAGAATCACTTCTGCTGTCTGTAAATACTTCTGTTTATTGGACAGTTGAGGCAGCCTCATGAATGCCTCTTAATTAGTGCTTTGATACAGAGCATACTTCATAAGGAGAATAGTAGGATGTGTGGTGTGGCTTTAAGTTGATCTGAGTGAAAACTATAACCAATTCAGATTTTTTTGGCAGTATTTGCTTTATAGCAGTGATAATTGGCATTGGCGGGTTTTGTGAAAATGACAATCATGTTTGCATTGGCTTTATTTAAAATGGATTCATTTTGATCTCCAGCACACTTTGGCTGCAAGCATCTTGTGGTCCGGCTAACCAACATCGGCTAAGAGTTTTTTTTTTTAATGATTTACAGATTAAGCTTGTTAGCATGAGTAATAAATTTACCCTTATTGAACTCGATCTCTAGTCTTATTAGATTATAATGTAGTAATATAATTATTTAGCATCATTAAGCAATTATATACTTTTCTATAATTCATAATTGGTCCTGTAATCATCTGATGTAGAATATTTCTGCATGTGTCTTTTCATAAATATATCAGTTAAACTATACAATAATAAAACATATCACCCATATTTGGACATTTTTAGATTAACAGAGGTTATATCAAACATTAAAGCATTAAATTTGCATTTAATATACTTTATTAATCAGTTTTGTGTTATGATTTGATGTAGGACATCTCATCTCTGACCCTTTAGCAAATTCCTATTATGCAATATAATTTATTTTTCACTATCAATTCAGTTCCTGATTAAAAAAAATTCTGTATTAGAAATTAAATGCATTTAAAAACTGCGGTTAGTTTAGATTTTGTTGCATTATGTAATTATATTTCATTTTAAAGTCATGGAGTTAAGATGTACGGCATGAAGGATCAGCTGCTCTGATAGTGGATTTATTGATTGTGGCATTGATGGTGTGATTCAGTGTGCCAGTAATGTGGATCTTGCATATCTTTGTCATGTCTGTCTGTAATCCAGGTGATCTGCCTGTGTTGTGTGGCTCAGTGTCACTACTGAGTCATCAGCTGCCCCTCACTTTAAGCCAATCATGCCATTTAGCTCGCCAATGTCACGGTGTGTGACACTTTTAGCCTGTTGCCCACCGGTTAAGATGTAAAGCATGCAGAAAACAGTTCACGCTTAATTCATTAATGCTTTTATCATGTGCTAATCAACCTACAGTGTCGTCTTCATGAATTGGTGATTTATTATTCTATATTGTTTGATCAAGATATGCATGCTATTATTTTTGTCTAACATTCCGATATTCTTTATTGATGAAATGCCTTCAAAGCCTTTTGTTTTCTTTCTGAAGCTCGAAAGAATATTTTGGGTTGATTATATAACTTGATTATATTCGTGACCCTGGACCTCAAAATCAGTCTTAAGTTGTGCAGGAATAGCCAACAACAAATGATATGGATCAAAATTAGGTTATTTTTATGCCAAAAATCATTAGAAGTGAAATTCATGAAGACATTGAGCAAATTGTTTGATGTAAATAAATATATCAACTTATTTTTCGATTATTAATTTGCATTGCTGACAACTTAATTTAGACAATTTCTAAAAGCAATTATTTATTTTTAACCCTTATATTTACAAATAATTGTATCTCAGGCAGATATTGTCCTATCCAAGCAAAGCATACATCAATGGAAAGCATATTTAAATGCCTCTTGGATGTATAAACATTTCTAAGATCCTTCTGACTAGCTTTGTGGTCCAGTGTCACATATTATATGCAACAAATGATTTTAAAAAATAATATAAACATAATACATTTTTTGGGAGCTGTGCTATGCTTATTTTTTATTATTATTATTTTTGTTTTAGTTAAATATGTGAGGAAAAAAAACAAGTGTGCAATGCATGATTGATTATTCTACTGTGATAAATAAATGGGTCTAATGTTTCAAAATAAAAATGCGTTAATTATTTGCTTTGATTAGCCAGTTTTATGGCATTATACAGAACATTTTACAGGATTATGAATTGATATTTGCAGTCTTTATTGTGGTGTATTTATTAATATTTGTAAAGAATAATATGTGTATACTTAACAGCAAATGCTAAGATGGCTTTCAATTCTTTATGCTTTTACATATCTAATGATTTTTAGACAATTGATTGATGATCTGGATCAAATGAGCAACCCAATGCCTTTTTGTTCGCTGCTTACTTTACTCGTAATTCAATTGAAAGCATTAGGATAGCACTGAAAGCTCAGCCTTGATAATGTGTCGGTCGTGAGACAGTCTGAAGGCAGTATCTGCCCACTTCTCTAGCGATGCAGTCTCACATCCCATCTTGGTGTGAAGTGTAACAGCTGAGTGGCCTATATTTAGAGTGCTCTTGGTTTTTGATGAATGCTGGTTTTCCCCATCGCCACTCCAGCTGTGTTGCTGAGTTCAGTAGGGGTAGCTAGTTGATCTTAGAAGTATCTATATTTTTTAAACTGTCAGTGTATATTATTAATTGAATAATAATAATAATAATAATAATAGTGCTGCAGAGTAATTGAATATTTACTTGAATAGACCATTTTGAGGGATGCAAACAATAACAATGGTCCTAATGTATTTTCTGTTTTATATTTTTAATTTCTATAGTTTCCGAGAATACAAAAAGAGCAGCATATTGATAAATAATGTTATGATAGCTGTTTTAACATTAAGTTATGATTGAATTGCCTCTTGTTACAATTATGAAATGGTTTGACAACAAGCAGAAAATGTTCATGGGCCAATTACATCACCACATTGAAATGGTCTATAGAAAATTACAATTTTAATGTTCCTCCACTGTATTTATCCTAATTTGGTCAGTGTTTGCTCACAGACTCACACTTTTTAAATCGGATCAAATCACTTTTATTGTCATTAGCACATGTGCTATGCGGAGTAAAAAGCAGTGTTCAATACAATGACAAACTCCAAAACAAAACGATATACTGTTAACAATGTTGACGATAAATACATAAAACCCAATATACACACATATGTAGACACAATAGTATAATTACCCACTATAAAGTATTTAATTGAAGTATCGATTATATTTGAAATACTTGGCATTGGATCGGAAAGAAAACAATTGACCATCCTTAGAGTTCAGAGTATTTTGTTGGCATTGAGAGGAGGGGGAGCCATAGGCAGACGGACTGTATGTGCAGGGGACGAAAGAGCCGTTTGGAGGATTTCAATTGTTCTTGGTGCTGCTTTGATTGCTAACTGGAGCATGTAGGTCTGTGAGGGGCTTAGACCCCTGCAAACCTCAGCGCTTTGACAAAAGGGTGCATCATATTACTCTGATTGTCCCCAAGAGCCATGCATTACCCCCAAAAAACATGGTGCATTCAGAAATGAGTGAGTTTAATATCTGTTAATTAACATTTTCCATATTTTGTGTTTTTTTTATTTATTATTTATTTATTTATTTACGGTTGTGAATTGAATTATTTGATTTTGATCTGCTCTGTTCACTTTTAATGGTGAAAATTTAACTCTGCAGTTTAACAAAATGACTTATTGACTTTGGTCATCTGAAAACAGATTGCAAGAAATAAAGAATTAAGACAAGCGACTGTATTACATGGTTTTTGTACTGTAATTTACTATAACACCTATACAAGAAATATTTGTAAATTAGCATTAACTAATATAGCGTTAATAATTTTTCGTATTTGGTGATTCACTGATGTTTTCCATTTTATTTATGGTCAAATTGCATTGCAATGTGTTATTAGGAAATATTATATAGAAAAGTATTTTTTTCACTTTTTTTTCCACCAAACTTTTCAACATCAAAAAGTTTAAATACTGCAATTCAAAAGCATGAAATAAGAATTGCAAAATAAATGAAACGTCTGATTTATGGATGTTTTTTTACAGTGTAGATTGATGCCAGTGCTGCTTTTCATTGAGTTGAATGGAGTGAGTAGAGTAGTGTGTATTATTATAACATAAACACACTTATTTTCATATAGATTTCACTTGACGCTGGACATAAACTGTATAAAGTGTTCTGGAAAACATTAATTCAATCTTTTAAAAGAAAACAAATCATGCATTGTCTATTAGTCGTCTGGTATAATGGTCAATATGATGCAAGTAGGGAAAAAAAGACGGATAAATTATTGCACACACACCTCTTCAGCCTATCCTATATGTTGAGATATAACATGGCTGTGAGTCATCCAGATCTCGCCCCCCTGTATGACCCTGCTGTCGTCTGTCTGCATTGGACACACACTCTTTTGTCTGATGGCTTGTGTGCGGCAGCCTGGAGGCGGGACATTAATGATCGCCTTTTATTGTTCCTTATTTTGTTGGGTTAAAGGTCACGGTGGGTGTCATGTCGCCTTGTTAGGTTGTTTGTGTCCGCGGTGTTCCCTTGTTGATCAATCTGAAAACCGGACATGCTCCGTATGGTGTTTTTCATGAAAGAGAAAGCGGTTTTGATCAGACGTTTGTCGGTATCAATATTTTTATTTATTTACTTTTTTTATTTAATTTTTTTTTTAATTACTGGAGCTTTTACTGTGATTTCACCAAATTGACCTAAGCTGCTATAAAGACTACTTTAACAGATGTAGTAGTATCCAAAAAATGTATTTGTTGTGCAAGTTCAGAGTCAATAAATGCATTGAACAAATTAAATTGGAATAAGACGATGAAGAACAGTTGCTCACACTTTACAATTAAGACTCATTAGTAAATGTTTAATGCATTTAAATCAAAAATAAGAAATAGCAGTATTTTGTTCATTTAAAACATTTATATTAATTAAAAAACTAAATTTATTAGTTATTCCCCTGCTGAAAAAAAACAGCTTAAACCAGCCTAAGCTGGTTGACTGGTTTTAGCTGGTTGACCTGCCTGGTTTTAGAGGGGTTTTGGCCACTTTCAGGCTGGTTTCCAGCCCTTTCCAGCTTGGTTTGTCTTAGCTGGTCAGGCTGGAAAATGACCAGGTAAAACCAGCTTGACCAGCCTGGTTTAAGCTGGACATAGCTGGTTTTGGCTGGTCATTTCCCAGCCTTATCAGCTAAGACCAAGCTGGAAGTGGCCAAAACCCCTCTAAAACCAGCCTGGTTGACCAGCTTAATCCAGCCAACCAGCCTAGGCTGGTTTAAGCTGTTTTTTTCAGTAGGGTCGCTCCATTTAAATGATTGTGACTTTTGATTTCGTTAGACATTTAGTTTCTATAATAATTAAAATTAACATCATAACATGGTAGAAATTAACATCAGCTACAATTATTAATAAATACATTTTGTGGTGGTCTTTACATTCACTTAAATGAACTGATGTTAAAAAATGAGCCTTCACCATACAGAATTAACCAACTAATGGCCGTTAAAGTGTCACAGAATTATTAATGTCATAGGCTTAAATAACATTGTGAAAAATGATCAGTTCTAAAAATAAATTGCCTAATAAATCTTCATTATTTGACTCTGTCATGAACACCACCACCAATAAAACATTGTTTAAATATTAATTCACTGTAATGCTAATGATATCAATATTGAGTGTTTGTTATCAGGATTATATCTAATGTCAGTGTATGGTTCAAGTTAAATCTCCTATTCTATACATTATTAAAGACTCACGAAACACCAAAACACATTTTTTGAGCTGTTGACAGTCGTATATGTGTCAGACACTGCTAAAAGCACTATTAGGACACATATATTTTACTAAAAAGTGAAAACCGGTAGCCATTGACTTTCATAGTATCTTTCTTTTCTCTAATATGGATGTCAATGGTTAGAGGTTTCCAACACCTTCAAAATAACTACAGTCAACTACTAAAAAAAGACACTCATGATGGTTTTTAACCAATGTAAATTTTCTGAACTTCCCCTTTGTCTTTAAACTAATATGTTGTTTCTTCTTCCAGGCCCGCCTGCCCCTACCTCCCTCTTCCAGCCACCGCGCCGGCCCGGCTTGGGTACGGTGGGGAAGCCGATTCGCCTGCTGGCCAATCACTTCCAGGTGCAGATCCCCAAGATCGACGTCTACCATTATGACATCGACATCAAACCTGAAAAACGGCCCCGCAGGGTCAACAGGTGAGAACAAGCTAATAAGCAATTCATATGAAAGGGATAGTTCAGCAATATTAAAAAAATTCTGTCCTTTTTTTTCTTTTATTAAATATTATATTATTAAATAATAAATAAATAAATTATATATATATATATATTATACATATATATTATACATATATATATATATATATATATATATATATATATATATATATATATATATACTATATAGGTATTATACATATATATTATACATATATATTATATATATATATATAT